CCGAATTTTCTAGGTTATCAGTTTAACTCCCAACCCACACCGCTATCCCCGCAGATTCCAGCTCCCCTTCCCTCCGAACCGGGGGTTAGTCATGTCTCCACATCCTTCCCCCAGACTGGACGCACTTAATTCATTCAAACCACCCCTTCCTCCCTCGAGGATCTGTTTCTTAAGTGGAAAAATATGGTGAAACTTTTAGCCATTCCTTTTGCTGGTGTGCTGTGCTGTCCGTCCCCTGGGGCCGGTGGTTTTTGTAGAACAGGGAGGATCTGGCTGTAGCCTGCGGAGTTTGGGGCTGCAGGCAGATGGAGTTGTGCTGCCTTAAGGGTTACAGGAAGCAGCATCAAGTGGTGACCCTGGGAGCCCTGGAATGAGATTTGGACCCGGAGTCCCTCTGTAGACTCACTGGGAGCTTCCTTAACCTACTTGAGCCTCAGTTCCCTTAGTTAAATGGGTGAAACTTGCCTTCTCATGATGAGAGTAATCAGTCCTCCAAGATTCTAACCTTCACGATGCTATGAATGAAACACATTGACCTCCTTTCTAAGGAGCGCAACAGCCAAACTCACTTTAAAAAAATTGTTTATTGATTTTTTTTTTTTAGAGAGAAACATCAGTTTGTTGTTCCACTTGTATATTCATTGGTTGATCCTTTTTTTTTTTTTTTAACTATATCTTTATTGATTTCAGAGAGAGAAAGGGGGAGAGAGAGAGAGAAACATCAATGAGTCAATGAGTCATTGATCGGCTGCCTCCCGCACGTACCCTACTGGGGGATTGAGCCCAGAACCTGGGCATGTGCCCTGACCGGGAATCGAACTGAGATCTCCTGGATAATAATTGATGCTCAATCTCTGAGCCACACCAGCCAGGCTCATTGGTTGATTCTTGTATCTGCCCTAAAGGGGAATGGAACCTGCAACTTTGGAGTATGGGGACAATGCTCTAACCAGCTGAACTACTTGGCCAAACTCATTTTTCTGTAAAGGAACTCGGAGGCCCTAGACAGTGTTCTTTTTTTTTTTCCCTTTTTTTTTCAAATCCTCACCCGAGGATATTTTTTCCATTGCTTTTTCAGAGAGAGTGGAAGGGAGAGAGAGAGGGAGAGAGGGAGAGAAACATCAATGTGAGAGAGACACATCGATTGGTTGCCTCCCACACGTGCAGGGATCGAGCCTGCAACCAAGGTACATGCCCTTGGCTGTAATTGAACCCAGGACCCTTTAGTCCGAGGGCCAATGCTCTAACCACTGAACCAAACCAGCTAGTCAGTGTTCTTAAAATCCTCCCCCCTGCCCACCCCCATGGTGCATACCAAGGGACTTCACAGATCTGCCCTCTCTGACACTTCCCATTCCAGGAAGAGTGACTCGACATGCCTTTTGAGGTCTGGGTCTGGGTAAGAACCTTGACTCGCCTTCCAGGTCTCCACCCTGTATGATCACATTCCTTTCCAGACACTGTCCAACTGCACAGGGTGGACCAGCTCGCCCCCAGTCCAAGCTGGGGCCAGGCCTGTCCAGTCAGAGCTGACCATTAACGGAGGAGACAGGCTACTGTTGTCTTTTTGCCCTTTTCAGGCCTTTAAGACTGTCCTCCTATTTTATAGCTGATGGCATAAAGGGCCTGAGTTGAATTAAAGCCCTTTGGTGAGGGCTCCTGAAGAGGCACGGCCCTCTTAGCCTGGAGCCTCTCTCCGGAGGATGCTGGTGTTTTAGAATTATTGTGTCTATAGATAGGGGATTGGCTCAGAGTCTTAGCTGGTGGGTGCGGTGCAATCTTGTGGAAAATTTGGCTGCTATGCTGGGAATTCCAAGCATTATTAGGTCTCTTCTTTCACACAGAACTTTGTGAAGCTAGAAGGAAGGGTAGCGATACCTACCTAATTTGCTCCTGGGTCTCCACTTCTGCTTGTGATCACAAACCTTGTTTTGAAAGGAGAAATGGGTATATGGCTTGTTTTTTTTTTGTTGTTGTTTTTTAAATTGATTTTGGAGGGAGAGAGAAATGCTGCTGTTCCACCCAATCCATGCATTCATTTGTTGATTCTTGTATGTGCCCTGACCAGGGATCTAACCCGCAACCTTGGCATATTGGGACGACGCTCTGACCAACTGAGCTACCTGGCCAAGGCATATGGCCTGTTTTCTGAATTTGTAGACTGAAAGTTTCAGAGCTAGAAGGGATCTCTGACATCTAGTTCATCCACCTCATTAGTTCAGGAAACTAATTGTCCCCTGAGCCAGACGGATTTGTCAAGCTCACCTAGCAAGGGGATGCAGTGCTGACTGTGTTTGCTCAGCAAGTTGCTGCTGCTTCTACCCCACAAAAAGAGCAATTCAGGAGTGCTGGGTACCAGACAGGTACTTCGATGATGTTGGTGCCCTAGGATCCGACAACCACACTTGTTTCCTTCTTGCCACCACCTCATCTCCAGAGGGTCCCCAAATGCTAATGACCCTGCCAAAAGGGCCCTTATTAGCTAAGGGTGGGGCACATGGGTTTGTATTGGGGCAGAGGCCTGAGCTTTGTCAGCCTGTGCCTCCTGGCCAGCCAGGGCACACAAAGGGGGCTCTTCTCTGGCTGACACAGCCTCTCCCAGTGCTCTTAAAGAGACTCATTGAGTCATGAACTTGACTTTCCAGCCTTTTCCCCCTAAGTGGCTGTTTTAAGACAAAAATCAGATGGAGCAGACTGAGGGAGGCAGGGCACAGTCAGAATGCCCTAAGATCATCCTGTGAAAACTCATTGTGTAACTGTTACCGCCCACTTGTAGTGTAGAGTGAAATCTGTGCATCCTTGTTTGTGAGAAGGGATGGGATGGGTGGATGCATCTGTAGTGCCTGCTCCCCTTCATGTTTTCCACCACAGAGCAATTGTCCCCCCCTTTTTAAATTAAGTTTATTGGGGTGACAGTTGTTTCTGGGTCCTACAGATTACTCACCAGGCTTATTTGCAAGGCTTTTTTTTCTTTAAGATTTTTAAATTGATTTTTAGAGAGAGAGGAAGGGAGAGAGAGAAAAAAAAGAGAAACATCAGTGTGAGAGTAGAACATCGCGATCAGCCACCACCTGCACGCTCTGTACCGGGGATCAAGCCCACACCTGGGCATGTACCTGACCGGTATTCGAACTAGCAGCCTTTCAGTGCACTGGAGGACACCCAACCAACTGAGCCACACCGGCCAGGGCTACCCAGAGCCAGTCATACTTGGGATCCTTCTATTTGGTCTTCTCCCCAGTGACTACTTTCCCTAGCAGGAGCCCCAGGCCTGGCACACAGTTGTTTACAGCACACGGGCTCTGCTGCTGGCACTAGGGAGGATGAGGTCCAAGGTTTGCTCACCTTGTGGGTCAGCTGGTTTTGCTCTGTTGTGTTTGTAGACAGCACCTTTCACCCTTAGTCTGCAGGCCACTGGTCCACCTGGGAGGTGGGACCAAAAGGGGAAGTTAATCAGCTCAGTTTCCTCCCTATTGTTGGAAAGGCAGCTTTAGGCCCAAGTCCTATGGACATTGGGTCAGTGTTTTCTTTGCTTACAGTACCTTTTTCAGAGAAGTTTTAAAAGGAGACTATTCTGTGTCCAATCAAGAATCTCTGCTATCAGTTGGGAGAGCCCCTTGCTGTTCTGGGATGTTCTAAGTCCAGTGGTAACTTAGGCATACACAGCTAAGCCCCCACTCATGAGTTGCTAGCCTCTCCATGGCTTCATTCTTCATTCTTCCTCTGCAGGCTTTGACTTTCAGAAAATGGTGTCTACTTCTCTGCCCCACCAACCAGCCTGTGTGGTCCTCCAGCTTTCACTGGCCACCCACTGCAGTCCTTTACCCCAAGGAGCTGAGCGGAAGGGAAGGGCTGGGCCCAGCAGCAGTGGGAAAGGACCTTCTCTCTTCGGTGTATGGAAATGTAGCCAGTGGTGCCCTGGTCATCTCATGCATCAAAAGAGTGGCTGGTTCAATTCCCAGTCATGGCACATGCCCAGGTTGTGGGCTTGATCCCCAGTAGAGGGCGTGCAGGAGGCAGCCAATCGATGTTTCTCACATTTGTGTTTCTCTCCCTCTCTCTTCTCTCTAAAATCAATAACATATTTTAAAAAAAGAGATGTAGTCAGTGGTTAGAAATTATAAATTGTAATAAGGAATCCCACGGTTCCTGTGTCACCCTTCTGCTTCCTTTCTGGGACTGAATGGTGACTTAGGCTCATGCAGTTCTCACTAACACATCAGCAACTTGAGCGCTGAACTTTTGAACTCTGGAGGAAAGCTCATGTGAGGGATGTGCTGATGTGGGTCAGTTTGAGTTTGCTGGTTGGATATCAGTTAAGAAAATATGTACAGCCCGGCCGGGCATGGCTCAGCGGTTGAGCATTGACTTAGGATCCAGGAGATCGAGGTTTGATTCCCGGTCAGGGCACGTGCCCGGGTTGCAGGCTCGATCCTTAGTGGGGGGCCTACAGGAGGCAGCCGATCAGTGACTCTCATCATTGATGTTTCTGTCTCTCCCTTCCTCTCTCTCTGAAATCAATAAAGATAAATCAATAAAGATATTAAAAAATATGTGTACAGTCTGTTGGCCACTCCTGGAAACTAAGATGATAGAAAACCTCCATTAAGTTTCTTGCTCTTGGAAAGGAAGCAGAGGTTGTGATGGAGCAGAGAAAGCACCACTGGGCCCTCTAGAGCAGCGATAACTGAGTATTGACTGCCCTCTTCCCGGCTCTTGCTCCTGTGCAGGTTCATGTGCGCCCAGCTGCCCAACCCGGTCTTGGATAGCATAAGCATCATCGACACTCCTGGGATCCTGTCTGGAGAGAAACAGCGCATCAGCAGAGGTAAACAGGCTGTGACACAGCCTGGGGCACCTGTGGTGGTCAGACTACTTCCATCTAATGTCTGTGATGTGGCCCAGATGACACCCTTGAGGTCTGTTCCAGCCCAAGTGAGAGCTCATTTCCCATCGGCCCTGTGTGTCCACAGTGCTTTGAGCCCTGACAGGCAGGAGCTGCTTTCTTCCTTGGCTCCTTTGCTAAAGTTACAAGAGCTGTCAGGTGAAACCACTGGCAATGTTGTGTGGGTTTCATGCTTTCCAGCCCCTGGGGCATGCTGGGAAAGAAGACAGGATTGGGAGATGGGGCCTCAGGCTGGCTGTGAGGTCATAGAAAATTACTTAGTATCCGGGCTCCAAGGTACCTCAGCTAGCATTGCTGACTGAATGAGCCAGCCCCTGGCTCCTTGGGCTCACTCACTTTGTATTTAAAAGCTTTGTCTCCCGACGGCATATACATTCCTACTGAGTCCTGCAGGCCTGTGAGAGAACGGTTGGACTTCAACAAGCCACCAAGAGGAGACTCGGGCAGGAATTTGTTAAATGTTTAGGGGCTAGTGGAAATGTGTTTAAGTTGCTTAAATGTTAGTGAGCAGCAGCCTCCCTGCGTGCTGTGCATGGCAGAAGGTATTGCCCGGCCAGGTGTGGCTCAGCGGTTGAGCTGCGACCCAGGATCCAGGCGATCAGGGTTTGATTCCCGGTCAGGGCACATGCCTGGGTTGTGGGCTCGATCAATGACTCTCATCATTGATGTTTCTCTCTCTCTCTCTCCCTCTCCTTTCCTCTTTCTGAAATCAATAAAGGTATATTTAAAAAAAAAAAAAAGAAGAAGAAAGTATTAGTGCACCAGGCCCATTCGAGTTGTGTAAATTGGTTCGATTTTGCCAAACTTTTCTGAAGATCTGGTTCAGGATGTGCCTGAATTGGGTTCTATTTCTGCTGCCCCACCCCACCCCCACCCCACTTTGTAGAAGGGAGGGGAGGTCGGGGCCTAGGGGAGCATGAGGGCAGTCAGATGATATCTGGCAGACCAGAAGTGAAGCCTGCAGCTGCAAATGTGAAAATGAAACGAGAGCAAACTCAGAGAGGGGTTGAGGACAACGGAGCAGTTTGTTTATCCTCGACTTGCAAATTTTTCCTGCACCCTTTTTTCCCCTCTGAGCCGCCCAGCCTTGATGAGCTTTGCAGCCAAAGCCCGCGGCCTGAGGTTTGGGGGGGTGTGTGCTGTGGCTGTGAGGGGGGCCCAGTCACCGGTGCTGAGAAACCTTGCTTGTCTTCCTTCCCAGGCTGCGGGCATCAGAGCTACTGAACCTGCTCTAGGAGTTCAAGAGAGCACATTTAGGGACCCCTTTTAAAAGGCAAGGACCAGTTTTCTCTTATTGCTGTTACTGTTCCAACCTGGTTTTAAGAAAATGCCTGATAAGCTAAAGCCTTGTCATTTGCCAAATTAAGGCTAGAAAAGCTGAATCAGTTACTCTTAAAGGGAAAGACCCACAAAGGGGAATTTATGTCCAATCTCCCTCCAGTGTTGCGCTATCCTAGAGGGACTTTCTTTGAGCCTCTTTAGAGCTGTCTTTTTAATGACCTGGAGGAGTAAATGGGGCTTATTGACTGGGGGCCACCTCTGGGCTTCGCACAATGCTCCCAGCCCCAGGGGCCAGTCAGTGTACATATCTTTGGATAAGGGACAGTAACTCACAAAAAGAGGCTTATCTCCCCAGAATGCCACCCTCAGTGTGGCCTTCAGAACTGGGAGTTAAGATATCTGAGAGGAAGAATTTAGGGTTCTTGTGGCCCCTGTTGTCACGGAAAGGGGAACTCAGAAACAGCTCTTTTCTACCAGTGCTGGGAATTCCCCTGCTGGGCTGTCTTTGACACTTCAGCTTGTTTTTAGACCTTAGCTGGCTCAAAAGTTGGGAGTGTATGTCTTGATACATTAGGTACCCAGGTCCTGTCTGGTGGGATGTTACCGCCCCCTGCCTCTCCTTCCCCAGAGCAGTGCCTCACCGTGCCCTCCAGTAACACAGAGTGCATTGGACTGAGGACGGGGAACACTTAGCGTGCAAGGCAGCCCTGGCCCTCAAGCTGCCCGTGCAGATGGCAGATACCTGGAGAAGGAAGCCAGTAGGATGGGCTCCAGTAGCTTTCCACCCAGCTCCCCCAGTGAGCCCCGCCTATTCCTCTCCAGGTGTAAGGTGTTGGTCCCTCGAAGTCCCTGGGCAGCCACAGAAGGCCTCCCCAGCCCATCATGGACAGGAAGGAGGGCGGCTTAAAGATAAGCGCCCAGCCAGGGTGGGGTAGCTCAGTTGGTTAGAGTGTCTTCCTGATACCCCAGGGTTGTGGGTTCAATCACTGGTCAGGGCACATACAAGAATCAGCCAATGAAAGCTTAAATAAGTGGAACAACAAAAATTGATGTTTTTCTCTCTCTTCCTTTCTCTCGAAAATCAATTTTAAAAAATTACAATAAAGATAAGCGCATTGTTCTGATTGGCGATGGGCTTTCCCTATGAAATATCGAGACATCAAACTGATTTTACCATTTCTTTCCCTCCATAACTCTGAAGGTCTTAGTTTAAAGTATTTTACTGAAAGTCACCAAGTTGGGATTAGCTCTGGAATATGTTTGGTTGTCAGCATGTTAGCAGCAGGAGAAAGTCCATCATGCGGGGCCTTTTAGATGTGCTGGGAGTGGGTCCAGGGGTGGTGACCACTGGGTAGATGGAAAAGGAGTGGATTTCTCCTTGAGGCCCCACCCGTCGGTTATTGCAAAGGTCCCATGTTGCCTTGTCCAGCAGGGGAAGTCAGAGTAGGGCAGTGTGTTCCAGGCTCCCTGGGACTGCCTCTCTGCTCCCTTTGCTGATGGCGGGGAAAGCAGGCGTTTCCCTCCCAGAAGGATAGAGCCAGCAGAAATCCCGAGTCCGGGGCAAGCAGTGTGAGCCAGGTCTGTGGTCTGCCAGCCTCGCTCCCTGGAAACAACATCCTTCTGGAAGCTGCATGTGCATTCGAGTTGCTCATTATATCTGCTTCCATTTCCCACCCTGCCTGCCTGGTTCCTCCTGACTTTTGCCCCATGGTCCCTAACATGTGCAGGAGATGCTGTCTGGAAGATAAGGTAAGACCCGTACAGGCCCAAAGCAGTCAGGACATAGCCCAGGCTCTGCGAGAGACCCCTGAGAATCCTACGGGGTTCTCGGGCTGCACTTTCCTGTTGTGCTAATCTCCTGAGTGACTTTAAAGATAACATTCTCCTGTGTCAGCAGAGAAAGTGACCTGTGGACACCATGTTCATTCCCGGGTACTTCCTGTGTGACAGACCAAGGCGTTCCAAAGGGTGCCTGGGGCTGCCTGGGCTGGTGCCCTTGGTTCCCCGACTGCTGGACACCTGCATGGTTACATCAGGGACCTTGGTAGCAGCGGTGGGAGGCACCCTCAGGTGGAAGTCCCAGCCCAGGAGGCAGGGACCCAGCCAGTGTGCTCTCTGCCATTGTCACTATGTGGCTGTGAGCTGAGCCGGAATTTGGGAGTTGTGTCAGCAGTGAAGTGGTGTTTAGACTTGGATTAGGACATCAGAGCCCAGCTGGCCTTGTGCCTGGCTTTCTGCCACGTGAACCCACTCCACGTACTTGTCACAGCAGCTGCACCTAGGAGGAAGCTATTGCTTTTCAGAAGAGGAAATGGAGGCTTAGCAAAGTTGAGTAATTTGCCCAGGTGACACACAGGCTAGCATGGGTCGGCGCTAGGATTGGAACCCAGCAGAAGCGCTCACACTGCACTGTGCTGAGAGAGGGTGATCTGGGGTGAAGGAGCCCCTGAGAACTTGGATCAGACAAGTCTTTGACCTTCTTAGGTCATTACTGTGCAGCGCTCCTGAGCTCTCTTAAGTGCTTCTCTCCTAGCCTGAGATCAGAATGGACCTGAGGTCCGGGGCTTTGAACAGCAATGCTGGGATCTTCTTTTCCAGTTCTCTGCCTCCAGCCAGAAATTGCCTCTCAGGCCATCCATGCAACATTACTAGGAGCCCTGACCAAGGCTCGCTGGTCCCTTGGGTTCTCACTGTCCCTGGTTCTCAGGCTCTAAGACCAGGAGGTGCCTGCTCCTTCATCGTCAGGTATGGCCTCCCCAGGTGTCCCTTCCCACTGACCCTCATGCTGACCATCTCCTGAGATGCCCCACCCCTAAAAGCCCTCCAGGCCAGAGTTCCACCAGTGTTTTTCAGTTCCTAGAATGCTTCATTAGGTTGTCCAAAAGCCTGGTATAAGGCTGAGTGCTGCGTGCCTCCTGGCTTGCCAGTGCCCAGTGCACAGCTAATAACAGAAGGTTCCAGTTCCAGGTCAGTACTAGGGGCCAAGGGCCCCCGCAGTTGCTGCAGCCTCTGGAGCCGCACCAGTAAAACAAGATAGTAATAGAGCCTGTCGTTCTTGTCAGCGTTGTAGGCATTTCCAGGTAGAAAGCTCTCGCTGCAGTTGCCTAGTACACAATTAAATGTCCTACAAATGTCAGCTGATTGAAAATAAAGACATTGGAAAATCCAGGAATTCCCAGACTTTGATGCGAAAGAAATTCCAAGATTTTGATGAGGAACGCCTTTTTCTGAATCACATCTCAAGGAGCTGGAGGGTGGGGAAGCACTGACTCAGCAGGGTTTCCCTTCAAATTGCAGGTCCTCTGGGCGCTCAGCCCCAGTGCAGCTACCTTCTAAAAGCCTTCCTCTCACCATCACCCCCACTGCCCCCACCCTCTCCAGCCAGACAGCTTTTGGCCCAGCCCTGGATGGGAATGCGCTCAACTCTGCCGAGGGGCGTGGGCTGCTCTGCCAGCAGAGGAGTGGTACCAGCTGGTGCCAGCACTCGGCACCTGTTTCCAGGCTGCCGGCCCGAGGGCCTGCAAATGTTCGGTTTATATTTGGAGTACAAGACATTCTTCATGCATTAGAAGCAGTCATTGCCTACACACCCATCAGAATCTGAGTTTGAGTACAAAGTACAGATCCTGTTAGTAAATACT